TTATTTAGACACGTTCGAAATTATTTCGCTCAAAACTGGAACTGGTTATTCTCATTTATCATATTCAAAATTATCAGGCATTGGGTTCCACTCTTTCATGGGGCCATTATAAGATCAATAAAAATCAATATAAAATTGATACTCAGATTTAGTAACCACAAAACAACATCTGTTTGAAAAATCATGAAAAATTAGTGGAAATGTTGCAGATGAAAAAATACCTTTGATTTTGTTATCAATATCGAAATCAGATGTTTACACTTTTAATTTGAGTATTTATTGGTATGGTATAAGCTTCGATTTTCGGGAATCAAAACTTTCAATATGTTATTGAAAAATAAAAAATACAAATTAGAAAAACTTTCTGTAAAAAACATCATTTTGAAATTCATGAGTTTTTTTATATAAAAAAATAAATTTTAAATTCTGACTTCCGCAATTACCTTTCGAAATCTTCAAATACAATTTCTATAGATATATTTTGTTAAAATGGACTTTTAATGATTTCTATTACCCCCGTAAGATAGTAAGAAAATGCAAAAGCAAGTTTTAGTATCTAAGTGATTCTCAAAAGTTAATCGTAGTCGCAGTTTCAACAAACAAGTTTCGAGGACGACTCCATTAAAAATGGAACACATTGAACATCCAGTTGAGTATCGTTTCTTTTCTCTGTAAATGATCTCAACATTTACCTCTCGTACGCTAAGCTCAATCTATCAAAATACGTGCAACCCCATAATTTTAAAAATTCTGCGTTTGACGTTTCTGTGAATTGGTTGAGATATGATAATTCGGTAGAAGTTGGAGGAAGTTGTCTGATGATTCACTATATTTTTTTCTTTTATAGGTCTACAGACCTATTTTTCAAGGATAGTTTTTATTCGAAACAATAGTTACATATTATAGTGTGGTTATCAGAAAGCTATTTAGATGAATATGACATTAATCAACATCAAATTAGAAACGTTAGTTAAGTACCTTTAAGAATTTCAAACACATCACACACGAGTAAAATTAATATATTAGGACTTACCACAAAATCAAAATTATCAAAAATTATGAGTTTGTTCCCATTTTGACAGATTAACTTGGAGCACTTGGGATAAACCTCTTGATTATTACAACTCAAAACAAATTGTCCTTCTCAGCCTTTTTTTTGACGATGTATTATCTATTCTAAGTTTTTTTCCCGGGTTAGAACGAAAAAATAGACAGATTTCAGCAGATTTCAAAAGGAGTCACTTGGACGTACACTTGAAATCCTATCATAAAAATGAAAATTTAACGTACTTTGATGTTGTCTCGAGATTGAAACAATATACTCTCGAGATTTCACCAGAGAGAAAAACGATAAGACTCCTTTGGACTTAACACTCCAGTCCCAATAATTGGACGGCCGTTATTTTAGAACTTTGATCTCCGTCGTAAGGGATACATTTTTTCAGGAAGAAGGTTGAAACGGGAGGGCGATGTTAAGAGAAGAGGGTATTTAGTTTCAGAGCTGCCTTTTGGACGTATCGCCGATGCGATGGTATCGTATCCCTCGGGACGACGAACGTCCAGTTGGCCGCGGCCATTATTGATTATGCACTGCGGCCACAACACTACGGGCCGACGACAAAACCGCCAAAATTATTTCGAAAATAAACTCTCGAATCAAGAAACTATACAATTTCAAGTAGTATACAATAGCTTTTTCAGGCGTATCTATAAGCTATTGTATGACGAAACACTCACTGCATTTTTTATTAAAATCAGAGCGGGCCAGCTATTTCTGAATACCACCAAAACAAACTTTGTTATATTCAAGGCTAGTAACACCAATACAAAAATTGGGGAACGAGTCAAGTATAAACAAGCTAGGTATACTCGTATTCATTAATGAAAAATTAAATTATGGAATACATATAAAACAGCTTACCAAAAAGTTTGCAAGTATATGCTGGCTGTGATTTACACAAATGAATGAAAATTTGAGAATCATGAACACAAACATGGATGAGTAAGGTTTTGACTTTCTACTTCCTCATCTTCATTGGAACACTAATCGGAACCAGAAAACTGTATACATCTCGGCAACTTTTGATTCTTTATAAAGCTCGATAGTCTGGAACATGGAAGAAAGGTTGAAGACTTGTCTCTCTTTTATAGATACGTGCGATTCGTAGCACGTTACAGAGATGTATAGATCATGCATAGAAGTTACTTTTGAAGGACTTTTCATTTCAATTTGGTATCTACATACATTCGTTGTATTAAAATGGGAAGTAGGAAGTCAAAACCAATCTCTAGATCTACGCGGAGCGTACAGCTAGAATCTAGAGAAATACATTTGCGGTTCTTCTAGATTCTTTATTTTATTGCTGATCAACCCCTCCTGAAATTTACTTCCTTGGCGGGGAAAGAGACTCACGTTTAGTAAACATCCACTCGTGGTCCCAGCACGATCCTTTTAAATAATTCAGAGTTCGACCTTTCTCATTCAGACGCGTTTATTCTCAGGAATTATGTCTGCTCGCCGACTACAAATTCGAAACGCCCGCGCCCGGAAAACAGGGAAGTATCAGCCTAAAAGACAACCGCACAAAAAATGAAATCAAAACGATTCCGTGGATTACTCGTGAATTATTGGGTGGATTTATGTATAGTTCGGAAGCAGTGCCACGGAAAATATCTCTTTCATCTTGGTCAAGAAACATTGAGATTTTTTTATGATCAGTTACGGAATCCCTTTCTACTGTGGAATTTATTATCCAAAGAAATATTACTAGGGCTTTTAAAAATCACCAATTTCGAATAACTCGTTCGGCTCAGATTAAACAAAAGTCTGATCGATTTCTAATACATGCACATTGAAAAATTAAACGAATTAAAAAAGACTTGATAATACGATGATTACGATTTTCAGTAGATCACACTATAGTTTTTTGTTATTGTAATCTATTTGCACCCCGTATATCGTTTTTTATTCCAAATTTTGTCAATAGTGTTGAAAAAGTATATAACAATTGAAGTTTTTTTAAGGCACCCCACTTTTCCAAAAGAACATAAAACTGTAATTCACAGACGATTAAAAAACATATGGAATGCAATTAAGTCCGTTCAAGGTACAGCCAAAGAATAAAAGGATAAAAAGAGAAGTTAGAGGCTAAATCTGAAAATTTTGTTCCGAAGCTAACCCTAAGTTGCTACTATGAAACTTCGTTTTGAAAATCTTGGGTTTTTCAATGGTGTTGTATTCTTTTTCTAGAAAAAATTCAGAGATGTATGCAAGTATTGTATGTAGAGGTAGGTCAGAAGGTTATAGAAAATATGCTGTACATTGGAGGATGAGTTTTGGATGTTTTATCAGCACGCCTCTGGTCATATTTATATACGGCTCGAATGTTCGTTTTATGCCACTTTGAAAATTGCTGAAAAACATCGGATGAAAAATTGAAAACGTGTACACCGATAACACCAGTATCTCATCAACTCTAATAATAATAATTTCCGACAATTTCGCAGAGTGTAACTGTTTGCTGCATTCACTCTCACCCTCGGCTGATTCAAAATTAGAACTGGATCGATATACAATCAACAACCGGAAAATGAAGTAGTGCTCCATGCTTCGCCTTTTGAGAAAAGGAACACGATTGCTCAAGCAAACTATGAGTGGGGATTATTTTCACTCGAAAGTTATGAAAAATAATGTTTTTGTAATTGGTTACTTTTCAATTTCAAAATTCTATACTATTTTTGTTAGACGCATAAAAATAACCTGAATGTTGGTTGAATATACCTCAACATCAGTTTAATACTATGGTTTCCGATTTCAAACAGATTTTTAGGGAGTATTCCTCACAAATTAAATCAGTCAATTATCAATAACTGATAGTTTCTAAAAACTATCAGTTTACACAGAAAAGTTACAACATAATTGTTTTTCTCTGAATTCTCTTGAATTCTAAACTCTGACAAGTTTTTATGTTTGCTAAGAGCACAACCGTTCGTCTATTTGAAAATCGCAAAGTCAATTTTGCAAGTCCAACGGATATTCACACAAACAAAAGGAGATAATCATATTTCATCGATGTTTTCATGAATGGCGCTAAATCCATGCTCATTGTCCTCTATCGTGAATTCGAATGGACTGGGCGTGAACGGATTGTTTGATGAAACAAAAGCGCCTCTTCCATTATCGGCACTCCGTTACTAAAATCAGTTTAATTAAACAATAAATAAGGTCTATTAAAACGCTGCCCACGGTCGGGCGCAACCTGTCCATCGATTGCAATATGTGCGATCTAGCGTCATATGCAGATGTCTGCGGCGTTGTTGTATGTCGATACAAAAGCGATTAAGAATAATAATAAAGACTTTTTTCATTCAACTGCCGGACCAGAACACTCCATAAATCTAAACCCTTGCTAATGAAATAAAACCATAATCTTTTGATGTCGTTGATGGCTCTTGAACACACATTCAAGATAGTTGACAATTGTCACTCTTTGAGAAAGATAGTTAGAGACACAGTCACATAAAACTATATGTGAGAAAAAATCGAGTCATTCAAAAATCAATGATAAGAGGAACATAAAGACGGAAAAACTGGCGCGCTTCTATTCTGGGTACCAAGGCACCGATTACGAACTCCACAAAAACTACTTAGTAGTACCAAAGTTTATGGTACAGGACGAGATCAGGAAATAGCTCGACAAGAAAGTGAGGACCACATAAGGGAAATATTTACACTGTCCATGTAGGTGGCACCTGATCAAAATAGTGCTATATAACGAAGACTTTAGATGCAGGTAAAGCAACAAATGATCAGTAAGAAGAAATGCAATTTATATACAACCTTGATAATGTCCAAGAGAATATGACAAACGTCTAACAAAATACCTGTATAAATGTTTGTGTCAAAGATCAAGGTCGTTATATTCACGATTAATCATGATGGATTCAACTTCAAAAAGTGACATAGTAACCACACAGTAAATAAACAGAAACCCACTAACCTGTATCGTATGTCCGTGGCCCTGTTGGCTGATGTTCAACTGCTGCGCCTGGTTGATTTGCACCGAAGCGCCGGAATTGTTTCCGCCTGGCCCCGAAGACGGCCTGGGCGGCGTACCTCCCCCGAAAGGTCCGGCTCCGGGATTGGGAGCAGCACCTGCGCGCGGGGGCGGCAAGTATCCGGGACTACCGTGACTGCTCGGGCTGCCGTACGGCGAGTACTGCTGCTGTTTGTAGATGCCGCCCTTGCGTTTCATGTCGGCGAAATCAGCGCCTTGGAAGATCTCCTGCTTGATGAGGTCGGGCTGCTGCGAGAAGCCGGGGCTGCCCTTGTGGAAGCCGGCTGCGGTGGGGCTGCCGTAGTCCGTCTGGAACGGGAAGTCAGGGTAAGGAGAACGCGCTGTCGGCACCCTAGCCGCGTTGGGTCCGGCGAACGAAAGCCCCAGCTGGTTCTTGTGCTGGTGCTGCTCCGCCATCTGCTTGAGGGTCTGCGCTGCCGGACTCAGCTCCGTCTTGGAGAAGTCCATGTTGGGGTAGCCGCCTCCGGTCGCCATCCTGGTCTTGTCGAACACCGGCTGGGAGTAGTTGCTCTGAGTGGGTATCTGCTGTTGCTGCTTACCGGCGTCAGAAAGGCTCTGCTGCGACGCCTCCTTTACGTCCTCCAGCTTGGAGCCGCTCTCGGACTTGTCATCGAAATCAAAGTCCTTCATCAGCTCGTAGTCGGGGTAGTTGCTGATGTCAGAGATGAGGTCGTTGAAGGTGGCCGAGGAGATGATCTCGTCGTTGGTGTCGTCGCCGATGAGATCGGGGAAGCCCCCGAAGCCTCCGGCCGCGTCTTTCTCCAGAGCTGCGGCACATTGATCCAAGTCGGCGAAGTCGTTGTCGGGTTCCTGCTTGACGCACTCGACGAGCGTCCCGACGTCGATGTTGGGTTTGGGGTGCGCCGGCGAAGGGTTGGTCGACTTGGGGGACGAAACGTCGCTCTTGACTGAAGCGTTCGCGTGCGTCTTGACGGTGACATTCGTCGAGATCTGCTGCGGCTGCGCGCTAGCTGCAGAGGTCGTGAACTCGAGCTGCTGGACGATTTCGACGGAGAACTTGGTGAGACCCTCTGGGTTCTGGTGCTGCTGCTGCTGCGTCGTGCATTGAAGCTTCACGGGAGGCTCGAAACTGTCGCTGGGGCCGCCGCCGCCTGGATCGAGCTCGTCCGCGGACCGCTTCAGGAATTTCTGCTGCTGCAACATGACGAGAAATATTATTAACAAGTCGGGCGAAAGCGAAGTCCGCGGTGCGCGCTGTCATGGTCGCGGTTCTTCAAACAATGGGCTCGTTATAGCGCAGGCAAAGTCGCGGGATTTTCGGAGAACGACGGATTTGACGCGCGTTTTCCGGTGGCCTTAGTTTCGGTTCGTGGCAATTTATATTAGTCAGTAATTCTTTCTAACTCGATTCAGTAACAAAATTGTACGTTACTAAAAGTATCTCACCTTATACTAAACAATTCGATGGTATTTTATTATTTTCTTTCAATCAAAAAAATGTTTCGATTCATTTTGAATGGTTTGCTTATACAAGTGTTAGATATCTTCAGGAATACAACAGCAGTTGAGTATTCCTGAGAATAGCTTCCGCTTGTATTAGCAAAAACTTGGGAAACTCCGCCAAAATGGACGATTCAAAAAACGCAACACAACGGATCCTTGTTGCAAGAGCCAGGACAATGTAATTTATAAACTGGCATTTTCCAATCCTTGTATAAATAAATAAAAGTAAAATATATTTCTCTTTTGTATATTTGTATATATTATCCAAGTTTATATAACCTATTCTGTCCCTGAGAAAAGCTCGCTTCGTCACATAACTTTGAAGTCGTTTAAATGTTATTCAACATATGATTTTGTCCTTCGAACTTTTAAATTAGTAATTGTAATACTATAGTTTATGTCTTGGTATTTTCTCCAAAAAATTAAATACAGAACTCTTATCTGAGTAAGCAATATAACACAATACAGGCATTTCAATGCATAGCTGAAAGTTAGAAATAATTATGTCATACAATAAAGTGTATATTATCTTGAAAATAAATACATTTGATTTGTCTGAGTAGTTTAAAACTAGGCTAAAAGCTAGTCCAAATTAATTAATTATAGAGACACAAAAATGTCTGCAAAGAATTCAAGAGTTTTTGGAAAAAATATAAACTTTTTAAATTTTATTCTAAAGCAATAGATTAGAACTTCCAGATTTTTTAAATAAAATTAGTACATGTCCGATACCAAAAAGAATATCAAATAAAAGCAATGATATATTTGGTTTGACATAAAATAGCTGGTCCCCATACATCATAAGTCGGCAAGAATTTTATTGTTGAGTGCTAATAAAAGTAAACCATTCTTGGAATGGATTAACATTGTTTCTAATTAAAAAAAACTTTCACTTACTTCCTGGCAATTTCCAATTTTCACCTTCATCGACGGATCTATTGAATGGACACTCTTGAAATGATCTCTCTACTCTACCAACAATAAGCTCTGACTGACTATAAAATATTACTATAATGTTGCCTTCCTGAATTGTGTCAGCCAATCGGAATGCTCAAAATATCTAACAACTTGGAAAAATCATACTATCAATGAATCATGACCACTCGGAATCGATGTGTACCTCATACCCATTGTTCCATAATTATGCAAAAGGATTAAAATTATTTATATCAGTTCTGAACAAACCCTAGACTTCGTTCAGGTATAACTTAGGTGTTACCTGATTTGCTAATGCTTTTGAAGAAAAGTTGACATAAGTTTGCGACTTCTTTCACATAAGATCTTGCCAAGGATTCAAGAAAATCTAACGTAAGGTACAGTGCAGAGAATTCATTTAAAACACAAATTCATCCATTATAAATACCTATTGATTTTTTTTGGACCCCAATATATCAGAATTACTCTGAACAAAATAGAAATATTTTCTGTAATTTTTTATAGAACCTCTGCTTTATTGGTGGTTCTTTGAATTGGGTCAAGTATGTAGAGTATAAACTCAACCTCATGAATAGAAAGAATTGTTATTTTCAGTAAAATCCAGCACCTGCTCATAAATATATTTATAGTAATAATATTAATAGAGAGTTTATTTAGCTCTAAAGCTACTAAATATCAAATAACATAACATGACCAAATCAATATAATCCATTAACAATATAAAACATATAATTTAATTATTTTAAAGTAAACTGCATAAAGCCGATATAATTTAAATTTACTGCAAAATAAATATTTTTGAAATGTTAAATTATTACTGAAAAACCAATGCTATTTTGTATAAAAATGAACACAATTTTCTATTCAAAATTTTCACAAGTTTTTATTTCTACTGGCGATTTATTGAAACTTTTCAAACCTTGTGCTTGTAAAAGGAAATTGTATTTTATCTTCAAGATATTCAGGAATCATTTCATTTATGAATTTATATAAAAATATGATGTCATTTGTAAAGAAATGTATAAGTATTGCAAAGAAATGTATACGTTTCAGGTATAATAAATGAATAGAAACACAAGAAACTATTGAATAGCCCTGAGGTTTGATGACCTCACAATACTCGACTTCTTCTGTGAAGTTATTTCAAAAATAAAATTTAACCAACGCGCCATATTGGGCCTATAGGCTATAGAGAGCCTAGTAGATCAACAATATAATAAAAAAATTTGAGCAGAAAGCCAACAATAAGTTGCCAAATCGTTTCTGTAGATTTGCAAATGATGGAAAATGATTTTGTTCCAACTTTTCCCGCAGCATCGATGACGGCTGGAACGAGTATCGTTGTAAATCAAACACGAGTAATTATTGCGACAATGTTTAGGTATTACGTCAGTAACATAAAAAATGTTACGACAGAACTTTCCTGGTATACGCCAACCGATTCGTCGGTCTCGCCATTAAAAAAGTGTCGATAAAGCAATGGTCTAAATTGAAATTACGAATAATTAGCTCCGAGCAAATAGTACGGAACAAGAGTCGCTCGCGCGAACCCATTAAAACGGCGAGAACGTGATCTTTTCCAAAGCGAGGTCACTTCTATTTTATCATCTCCTGTTCGATACCTCCAACGTACAGGGTGTCGATTATGCAGGACGGCTTTTCTCAATAATTACCATTGTTTAGTCCACCCTGTATATAATATATGTTTTAAAAAGCGTGCTTACCGTGATTCATCGATATCAAACTTCATATTAATGATAGTAACATAGTTGTATGCATGTGGTTGTGAATGAAAACGTTAAAACAAGTATTACTCTTTCTATTTGGAAACGAAAAGTAATATGTGGAATCGTGAAATTGATTGGATCAAGACGTTTCCTCACCTAAAACAGAAAATATCAAAAAAATATCTAACTGTTTATAAAATTATGATTCCATAATAGTAGGCACTAAAATTTCAGAAATAGTATTTCAGTGAAACGAACACATTGTTGTCAAGGTTGTGATTCTATATATTTTATCATCATTTTTCCCTATCTGCTCAGAATAATTTCCGTACGCCACTGCAAGAGACAGATCAAGGCAAAAAAGTCAGTCATTTCTGAGAATTTAGTGCCTACTATTTTGGAATTATAGCATAGTAAAAATTGTTTTTCATCTGGTTGGTTTTCAGAGGAATATCATAATTTTGATACTTGCAAGAAATCAACCCCTCGTCGCTGAAACGTTTTTCCAACCTTCAAACTATTATTTTTATAAAATTTCACAAAATCTTAAAATGCTGTTCTTGATTCAGGGGACTGTCTGTTTTTATTACGAGAAGCAACTTGTTTCAAGTTCTCTGTATATGAAATAAAAGCAATTGGATCGACTATGATTTGAAAAACTATTGAACGCCACTGACCAAATAATATTGCACGAGATAAAGTAGAAACTTCCTCGTCAGAATGAAGGCAATTAAATGGATGCAGGCTTGCTCACTTCAATCGGCAACAGCGCGGTAGGCTACTATAAACTTATAGGGGTGAGCAGGGAAGCGGAAAATTGATGAATTTCCCTTTTGGCATACTGTACGGTTTCTAACATTTGTTCAAAGGGTGGAATTTTGCGTAACATGTTCAAATGAACATACATAAGAAATATATTTTTCAGAAAATTACTGCTGATGCAGCTAATATCACGGGTTACATAATTTACCATCTGTTACATGCAATTAGTCTCACTTCAGAGGAATAATCGCAATGTTATGTAATGGAAAACAATGAAGACTTTATAAAAAGTGCCATCAGGCTTTATACTGAGGAGGGGGACGAAAAAAGAACATTTTCAGACAGGAGAATACTTCAAGAAAGGGGACGTTGGTGAAAAATAAGTTTGGCACTCCTTATGCAGAACATAAAAAATCACTGCATGTCAATGTCCGTCAAAAATCAATGGTGGTGACCTATTTATAACTGAAAGTTTATATACTGCCAGGACATGAGTGTTATGTTTCTAAAAGTGGTAACAAAATGCTGCTGCAAATCAAAGCAGTACAACTGTTGAAGAACTCTTTCATCTGTAGCGCTTGTGTTTTGTCATTGAAAAAATGAGATGAATATCTCAAGTACTTTGGGGTGTTCTCGTTTACAATAAAATTGTAAACGAGAACTAAATCCAAAACACTGTTCTTAAACAACAGAAATACAACGCTTTTTACCAACCGAGTTGGATGAAGTACACTTCATTTCCTAGAAATCATAAAATATGTGAAAGAAATTTCAAAAAACTCATTAATACGGTAAACGCAATAGCGAACATAACATTGTTTGAATTTTTCTCAATAGATTCCAAGTGAAGATCCTTCATGTCATTCGCCGGTGGATGATTATAGAGAAAGTTATACCGACATCTGCTGAGTCTAAAGCAGATACTCATAAAGTAACTGCAGTTCTAGAATTATGATTGCGCCCTTCGGAATTCTCCAAGATACGACACGTAGTGGTTTTGCGTGAGTTCCTGTCCTCCGGTCTCCCCCAAGACAGTGCACCGGCATTCGATGCAGGTGCAAAGTTGTTTTCTGTAATCAAAGACCGTCGTCGTGTCACGGGCTCTTCGTTATCGAGACTCCGAACTCCAATAAACTCCGCCATTTTGTTCTCGTCGTCAGACCCATTGCTATGGTAAAATGTGGGTTTATTGCAACACCGAGATGACGTACTCGTGCATTTGTTTCATAGTGAACAACTTTTGAAGGGCAACCAGCCTTGGTTCGA